TAGGCAAACTGTGCAGAAAGTGAATTTACTAAGTTGCCTGGTGAGCACAGTGTTGCCAAATAGAGACTTACTTCTGGGACTTACAAAAATTCTTTATTAGGGCCAATGTATCTACCCAAGATGGTGCTTGCAAGGACACTGCTATTATTTACCTCTCTGGTTCTCCCTTTCCTATGTTGCCATTTAAACATGACCACCTGTTTGATCAACACATCCTTTTACTATTTTTAATAAGGTTACTATCTTTAATAAGATTACTATCAGCAGTGATAGATCTGTGAGCCTTCAGTCTTTAAGCTGAATTTGCATTTTTCTGCTCTGATCTATTGAGTATTTTATTTGAAAATGTAACCCTGAGAGAGCAGTCTTATTTCCTACCTTCCCATATTCTCAGGGTGCATCTTACTGTTCCTTCATGAACCTCCTGCAAGTGGTAATTGTTGTTTTCCTCTACAGAGGAAACGCACTGCACATGAGCGTGCCAAGGAACTTTATAGTTCAGGTGAATTTTCCAGTGGCAGGAAGTGGGGAGATGATGCTCCCAAGGAAGAAGTGGATACGGGGGCTGTGAACTTGATTGAGTCAGGAGCTTGTGGAGCCTTTGTTCATGGATTGGAAGATGAGCTGTATGGTAAGTATGACTGCATAATAATGACCGTGCTCATTTACTGAGTGATTGCTATGTGTCGGGCATCTTACTGGTTGATATACACACGTTGTCTCATTTAGTCTTCACAGTCACAGCGTATCTACTATCATTTTAATTTTACAAACAAATGAGGTTGAGGCTCAGATGGTATGATGCAGTGGTTAACAGCATGGACTTTGGGTTCAGTCAATCTAGGTTCAAATTCCAGCATTTCTATAAAAAAAGGTATTTCTGAATTGTGAGAATTAAATGAGATTATATATACATAAAACATTTGGCATAATACATGACACATTTATAGTAAGCACTTAATAATTGTTAGAAAAAGTTGATATCATTGGTACTGATAACAGTAATAACTTGTTATTAGTCACCCAGCTAGTAAGAGACAGAAGTAAGATTTAAACCCAGGTATGGCAGACCACAAAGCTATTTATGACTAAGAGACTCTTTCATCTTCATTTTAGAAAGATATTTTCACTGGGAATTGAATTCTAGATTAATAGGTTTCAGTTTTTTAGTCTTTTAAAGGTGTTCCATTGTTTCCGATTTGCATTGTTTCTGTTGAGAAGTCTGTCAGTTTAAAAAAATCTTTGTTCTTCTGTACATGATAGGTCTTTTTCTATCTACTTTTAAGATTTTCTCTTTATCACTGGTTTGAAACGATTTAATTCTGATGTATCTTGGTTTAATTTTCTTCATGCTTCTTGTACTTGAAGTTTGTTGTGCTTCTTAAAGAAGTCTCTCTAACATTCCTTGTAATACTGGTTTGGTGGTGATGAATTCTGTTAGCTTTTTCTTATCTGGGAAGCTCTTTATTTGTCCTTCGATNGAAAATGTGTTTGGAGAAAAAGTCAGAGCCTATATAAGCATTTCCATTTACTAATGTGGGAACTAGAGAAGATCTCAAATATATTCCTTAAAAATGTCTAGGACGTAATATCTAATGTCCTAACTGGTCTCTCTGCTTTATTTTGATTCCTTCTAGTCCATTAGCCATATTCCTGACAAGATGATGTTTTTGACTATGTTTTTAACAATGTTTCTCCCTTATTTGAAATGAGCAAATTATCATATCTCTCAGCCACAATTTCTCATCTAAAAAATGAGGCCCATGTACAAGGTGTGATAAAAAAATATGGTGAATGTTTAAATTAAAATATATTACAGTAAAAGACACATTGCCATTAATCCTTCTCAAAATACTCCCCATTGCTTCGAACACATTTATCCCATCGTTCTTGCCACTTTCCGAAGGAGTTCTGGAAGTCTTCTTTCATGAGTGTCTTCACTTCATCCTCCATCATGATAACTCTCTGTGTCACACATCGCTTCTGATATGGCAATTTCTGTCAAATAAAACATTATGGTGTGTCCTCATCTACCTTATTCACTGGATCTGGCACCGTGTGACTTCTGGCTCTTCCGCAAAGTCAAAATGACCATGAAGGGTAGATGTTTTGAATGGATTCAGGACATCAAAGCAGCCATGACAGCACAACTGAAGACACACATGAAAGAGGACTTCCAGAACTGCTTCAGAAAGTGGTAAGAATGGTGGGATAAGTGTGTTTGAAGTGAGTGGGAGTTGTTTGAGGGGGATTAATGGAAAAGTGTCTTTTACTGTAATAAATTTTTTTTTAAATTTAAACATTCACCGTATTTTTTTATCATACCTTGTATATTCATGGGGTTTTGGGTGGAAATACATTTTAAAAATATTTTGTACAATGTTGAACTTATTAAATATTTCACAGATTATTTAGTTATTTTTCATAAGGCAAACTCCTTGCCTTGGCCAACAAGGCCCCTTATGACCTGATCCCTACCTATCCTGCCTCGTTTTCAGCACCCCCATCCTGTGTTCCCACTCACAGAAATCACTTGATGTTACCCACGTGACATTCTCTCTTCATGCATTTGCACTTGTGATTTCCATTTCCCCCAATATGTCTCTCCTTGCATTCACCCCTTACTGCTTGTTCTCTGAGTTCCCATAGCACCCTTTATAAATGTGTATTATAACAATTTGTACCATAACGCAGTTATCTCTTTACTTGTCGGTTTCCCTTACTAGTCAGTGAGATCATTTGAGTGTAGCATTGATGTCTTCTTTTTGTATTCCTGTTCCTGGTAACTGTAGGCATATAATTGAATGGTTGATAAGTAAATATTTGTTTTATTGAGTGAGTGA